CGTGGCAGACTACCTAAAACCTATTGCTGAAGAGGAGAGGAGAGTAGAGGCTGAAGAGAAGAAGAAACGCGAAGAGCTCGAGCGGATCGCAAAAGAGCTGGCGGAAGGTAGTCCCTCGGTTTGACTTAGGTGTCCCACGCCAAGGGCCCGCGCTGGCACCCAGCTGGACTGCTGTCCCACTGCAGCGATTGCAGGAGGGCTTCGGGCTTAGAGCTGGCGGGCCGCAGACCCATGTGGCTAGAGTTGTGTGGAGGGCAAATAGTGCTTTTAGTGCTGCTGCTTGACACGCTCTTCAAAATGTAAGCATCGGCAGCGGACAAGATAGAAACACTTTATGAACTGAACAGGACTTGTTTAATAGGTGTCTGACTTTCCTCTCAGAAAACAAACTGCTGAAAGCTGCTGGTTGAGGAATAACTGGAACTGTATATCAACTACTCAGAAGTCACTTATTCAGCAGAAAGCTGGAAATATTTGACCTCTTTTCTCCATGCAATACAAAAATCTAAGAAATGTGACTGATGACCTAAACTAGTAGTTGTAAGCAACTGCTTGGTAATTGAAATTAAGAACAACTTTTAAGAAAATTGATTAATAGTCCCAAGCTGTACGTTGTGCAGCCACACACTTAGTAACTATTTTTCTGTGAAGCAGTGACTTTTGCATTTCCTAAACAAAACTAATGTTTAAAAAAAACTCATAAAATTAAACAAACTACACATGTATAAAATCAAATATGCAAGTTGGTTATTTTGTCAGTTACTAGAGGTAAAGCTATTGTGCACATCCTAAGTGTATAGTTTCCGTTGGTTGTGGACTAGATAAGTGGGACTTTTAGGTGTTTCCTGGTTGAGCTGAAACTGTGTTTTTGGAGATGGAGGCTGAAATGTGGTGTTGCTGCTCCACTTAGTAATGGAATTGTGTGCTTATTTCTTTAGAATGTTTAGTCTATTTCAAAGTGGCACACCAATGACTGGTCTGCTTTCCCAACAGTGTGATTTCCCAGTCAGAAAGGCAGTTGTTAAAACTTCACTGCAATGCAGTTGTTGAAGATTGTTCTTTAAAGATGAATAACTGCATGTACCTGTGACATTAGCTTTTTCTGGGCTTATTTGAATTGTCAGTTCAGAAAACTGGTATTTGCTAATAAGTAAGCCAAAAAAGAGCCTTTGCCCCAAAGCCACCAGCTTCTGTTGAATAAGCAGAAAGGGGAATCATAAGAACTGGGCAGAAAGAGGTGGTGTGCTGAAAGGAAGCCACTGATACCCCTAATGCGGTACATGTTTTAGGAACTGCAGTGCTGACTGTCTGTTTCTTCCCTCTAGCGAGTGAAGAGTCCATATTGAAATGAACGGAAGGTTGGATCCCGGTTGCACACATGGAAGTACATGGCTCTGAGCTGTTCAGTGGTTGGTGGACTCTGCATGCTATCCTGTCAATAAAGTTCCTACAACACTTCAGTTGGTGTTTTCTGAGTGAATTGCACAGAACAGCAGCAGAAGCACTTCCTGGCTATGACAGGAAGCATTTGTTACCAGCTGGCCATTGCTGTGGCTGAAAAACCCTGTTGCATTCTTCTAGCAACAGCCAGTCGCAACATCTGCTGCTCCTAGGTAACATTTGTGATCAGAAAAGACAAAATTTATTTATGTATGTGGGCAGGCAGGGAAAGCTGGCGTGGCAGGGCACTGGCTCCCTGAACCGACCTGTTAAAATAGCTCCTCTGGGAAGTTGCTGTCAAAGCTTTTTTCAGCCTTTTTTATCACAGTGAATCTGCTGTCACAGTTTTGACGATGGAGACAGACTTGATTGTGATTAGTCCCAATTCCCAAGATCTAAGGAATCATCGTCTTTGGGTATCTCTAAACCCATAACCTTTTCAGATTTAACAGTCAAATGTTTCCCCCAACACCAAGAACAAATTACAGTCAATTTATGGTCTTGCTCTTTCACTAGAAGCGGCCAGCTATGCTGGTGGCTGACATTTAACAGATCAGTGGCCTAGAATGTGAAATTAAGGCTGCTTTTTCCATGGAAGCTGCTAAGGCACCTCCTCAGCTGTATAGACGTTGGATGTTCCAGAAGAAGGTAAAAAGCCGCCTTCTGACACTGCAGGTCAGACTGCTGAAGCAGTGATTTCACATCTAAACTGAAAAGACAGTTCTATGGAGTATAGGCAATTGAAACTTAACAATTGGATTTGAATTGGAAGTGTAACATAACTAATAATTGCAGAGAAAAGGAGTTAAGATGGGATCTCTTCAAGGAGAGAAAGGGAACAGGAGAATCAAGTTCATGTCGTGACTGGCTATTTAGTTACTTCTTGGCTTGGGTGCATACGTCATGGTATTGAAATAGGTGAGGCTAATGAAGGAATAGATCTAGACTGCAAATTAGTCTAAAATCCTGTTTGCATAAAACAAATAATGTGCCATATCCTGATCTCTCAGGATAACAAGAAATGTTGTGTACTTAAAAGCCAGTGTTCTTCCCAAAGTCTCATATTTTCAGGATCTGTAAATCAGACCTGAGTTGCCACGTAACAGCATGGATTTCCCAGGGCGTGGTGCCGGCCCGGGCAGTGGGGCAGGAGGTCTCTTCGTGCAGCAGGCATGGGTGGGGGTTCTGCAGCACTGGCTGCTTGGAGCTCTGCTGCCTTGCCTAGCTCCAGGTCCACAGGTGACTCTGAACTCTCCTGTTGCATTTTGCATCGTGGCTCACTGGAAACTGTCCTGTGTTTGGGACCTGTACTGAGCTTGATGTTACTTGCAGGAGGATGGGTACTTGTAAGCACTAACACATCCCACAGCATCACCTAGGAAAATTAACATGCAAAAGCACTGAATGGATGAGTACTTTTTTTTTTTTTTTTTTTAAAGAGGGCATAGGGATAAACTAATTGTCTTCAGCTGTAGGAGGTTCTGAGAAGGAGCCTTGTACTTGTAGTCCCAGTCTTCAGCCCCTGCGATCCTGATGGCTCTGGAGGCACAGGAAGATGTAACAATGGACTGCAGGTACATCTAAAGGCTGCTACAGAAAGGAGAAGCATAAATTCTATGACAGAGATAAAAAATTGAGCGAACTTGTTAAATAACCCTTTGCTAAGTATCTGCCACGTGACTGCACACCAAGCTAAATATCCATCTGCAAACTTGATGCAAGTTGTCTTTGGCAGTGGATTATTAGGGAACTGGAGAAAGAGCTATCCTACTTGAGCCTGAGGCTACTGCAGCCTCGAGCAGCAAGGAACAGCAACCACAACTTGTTGCAAGGTGCAGAGGAGAAAGCAGGAAATACACAGCATCCAACCTGAGGTGGCATTACACAGGTGTAAGGTGCCAAGGGATGAAGAAAGCAAGAAGAAGAGGGGGAAATAGCTCTGTTGAAAGACATTTTCTTGGAAAGAGGTGAAAACTAAAGCAGGAAGTTAACCTGACACCAGTTGTCTGAGAATGGAGAGATGAGGAAGGAAGCAGTGAGAAAAAGCCTTTTGTTTCAAAGGGTATGAGAAAAAAGATACCCCATGTGTGCTCTCTAGTCTGGAAAACACTGCAGGCACCTTTTCCTCTGCTGGAACTAGGTTTGTGTGACTCCTCAGTGCTCTGCTGCTGCTTGAGAGGGAGTTTCTTGCTACTGAATGTGTTTTTTCTAAAATTCTCCATACCCCACCTTAAGGTTTTGTGGAAGGAGTAGAGAAAGATGTACAGAGAAAAGAGATTTTTCTCTTCAAGCATTTGTGATAGATGATGCAAGCCACGTTCATTCCAGACAGCATTAAAATCTTACCTGGGTCCAATACTCTCTGGGCTTTCATAGAGGTTTTCTTACACAGGATCTGGAGCTGACAGAAGGACAAAGCCACTCTGCTGAGTGCCAAGACATGCAGCCCATCTGCCTGGAGGTGGAGCTGGGAGTCTGTCCTTTGAAGACCTGAATGAAGGCTGAGTTGTTCCTGTTCTACCTTCCTGGGAGGGGAGCAGCACTTCCCAGCCTTAGCTGGATTCAGACGGTGGCCAGCTGGGAAGAGACAGTGAGCACTGCTCCCAGATCTATGAGAGGTGGCTGAGGATGGGACCCCAGTCTCCGCTGTCCCTAGCAGTTGTTCCCTTCTTCTCTACAGGAATTGCCTCTGTCAGCGCTGCCAGTAGCAGAGCCCTCATACATGCTGCCACCCCTCTGTTCAGCGCCGGGTCACAGCCCACAGCAGCAGGAACAGCTGAAGGGCACTCACGTGCTCTTTGTCAGGAGCAGAGCAAAGACGTCCTGTCTGGAGTCAGCCTGTCCTACCCCTTCCGTCTGGGTCAGCAGGTGATGGTCAAGATGCAGCATTAAAAATCCCTATCCCCTTGCCCCCTGCCTTCAAAACAAAGAATGGAGGTGAGGCATTTAGAAAACAGATCTCCTCTCATCTCCCACTGAGCTTGAGAGATTCATCAAGCCAGAGGTGAAAACACTTCCCCTGGGGTATAGGCAAATAGGCCAGAAGTGGAGCTAAATTACTCTACACCACTCAACAGGGGGTTGATTGGTCAGGAAACCTCTACTGAAATTGTGTTACAATGACTGCACTTTTCTCTCAGGCCTGGGAAAATGCTGTAAAAATCTGTTTGTTGGCCCTTGCCTTCCCTGTTAGTTCTAGGCAGTCATCTTCCATCTGCCTAGGGGAAGTGCTACAGGAAGGAACCATGCCAAGTTTCACCAGCATCTGACTGACTAACCTCCATTGGAAAGGGAATTACAAGTCATATGGTTGTGATGGTGGAACAAGGTGTAGAAACATCTGTTAGTAAGGGATTGCTGAACAGAAAGGACAGCGGTCCCAGTCTTTTGGCAAAGGGGCTAAGTAACCACGTGGTTATTGATGGTACCATTTTGGAAAAAAAAAAAAATCAATTTAATCACCCAGCCTGCATAGTATGAGAAGGCCAGCATTCCTCCCAGAGACTCAGCACGTGCCAGGCAGTGGTGGTGAGAGCCACAGTGAGGGGCAGAAGGGAAGGATGGGTCGTCTGGAGCTCAGGGCTGTACACATCACAGCTGGGCATGACCTACGACTCAGACGAGAAGACAGGGGAAGCAGAAATTAAGCATCTCAACAGAACATCTCCCCAGGTGTGGAGAGGGAAGGGTCTCCTCCCACCAGCTGCCCCTCACTGGGGCATTGTGTTGTGCCATTCGTGCTTTCTCTGGATGAGCCAGGCTGGGCAGCGAGGGGTCAGGGCCTGTCCAAGGGTAGCATGGGTGAATGACAAGTGCTGCCCTGCACATCACTGTTGGATCGTCTCAGACTGTGTCTGTGTGTTGTCTTGCCAGTCCTTTCACCACACCCTGCACCTGCTCTGAGCTCCACCCGTGCAGACATATTGCTTGCCTCTAGACCTGCAAAGATCACTTCTGCCTCCGGCAAGGTTCTTAATGAAACTGACATACACAGCATGAAGTCAGTATGAGTGGCATGTTTAGCTTTCATTTTAAATGGACAGGTTTCTGTATTTTCATGAAAGACAACTTGCTGCTCACAAAATTGCTGCACAGTGATAGAAGATTACATTCTTGCTTACTACACTAAAACACAGATAAATGATCACCAGGTACCACCATAGCTCTAGTTTTCCTTTTAATTTCAGTATATTTGTAACAAGATACTGACAGGTAAAAGCACTGAAGGTAGCAGGAGTATTAGAAGAAGGAGAAGGAAGAGGAGGAGAAGAAGAAGAAGGAGGAGAAGAAGAAGAAGGAGGAGAAGAAGAAGAAGAAAAAGAAGAAAATCCCCAGCAAAACAGATCTCCAAACATAAAAAAAAAAAAAAAAGGGAGAGAGTGGTGAGCACAGAAGGATGTCTCTAGTGCTACAGGAGTGTAATTGAATGTTCTAATATTTTTGCTGAAATAAACATGGAAACTAACTTTTATGGGCAATAAAAGAATACAAGTCATCAGTCTTTCAAAGTCTGGAGAGGAATCTAAAAACCAGACATCTCAGAACAGGAGGAGGAAAGGAAGGAGGGTTGGTAATGACCAGAAAAGGACTGCATTAAGTAACATAGCAATGATGAGTCAAAACAGAACAAATTTAGGAGTCGCCACGATCCAGGCTGCTCGGGTAGCTGGAGCTGGAACTGTCATGGGTGGTGATCACGCTGTCTCCTTACAACGGTGTGTCACAGAGCGAGGCCTCGGGCAGGGCGCAGTGTGGATCCTGCCCCTGAAGGTAGCAGCTCCCCGGTGTTGCCCTAATGGCTCCAGGCTTTAGAGCAGCAGCCTATCCAAATCCTTAAAGTGAGTGAAGAGCTCCTGTGTCTGTGGATGTTTCTTGATTTTACATGGAATTTTAACTTTTTAGAGCAGTTTGAAGGTTTACTATGGTCAGTATTTATGCTTAAACCCTACCCACAGATTTCTTTCTGATATCCTGACAGATACAGGCTTAGATATAGTAATTTGGGCTCTTCCCCAGTTTTCCTACTCTGTGGGCTCTAGTTGCATGCATTGTCCATCCCATGGGATTGTATGGAGCAGGATATGAATTCAGCTGGCCACATCAGCTTTTGGGTAACAACTGTTTCAGTGCAGAGAAAAGCTCTTCTATAGTCATGCAACCTGATTCATTGGGCCAAATGTTGTTCTGACTTGCCATATGCCATCTGACATAAGGTACATTAAATGGAGAAAGAAACAGGACAGAAGTGGCTCCATACCATCAGGAAGAGATGCAATTAAGGCAAATGAGATCTAGCCCTTTCCTGGTTGGTCATAAGCCTAATTAAAGTAGAAGAACTGCAATTAGGAAATGTATTTGTATGCCATAATGTTTGTGTGGTTTGTTTGTTTTGTTTTTTTTTTTTTTTTTAAAGCACGGGCATTCTCACTTTGGATGGCATATATTGCATCGATAATAAGTCTAAAGTATGCTGCAGGTCTTGGAAGCTGGAGCGGTTCCTCCGTTACAGGTTATTCCATCTGCCATATAAAAAGAGAAGCAGAATTAGAGGTACAGTCGTAAATGTCCTTCTCAGTCATTACAGGAGTTTTTAGTACATTTTAGTTATCCAGTGATGAATGTAGGTCATACCTATAGTACCCATATCTAGAGCTGTGCAGAGTAATCCTATGTGTTATGCTGCTTTGAAAGAATTTTTCAAAGTTATTAGAAATCTTCCTCATTTAAATACCAATTACTTAGGAAATAATTCTTCAGAAATTTTCCAAATCATTTTAACAAAGCACTTTTATTATTTTAAGTAAGTAGTTACAAATTAAACTAAGAAAAGAAATCTCGATATCTCTAATAATTTCTAAAATGTGTCATCTGAGGAATGTCCACCTCATGGACAGTTGGGATTTCGGTCTAGTTTGAAATGAAAGGAGATTTCAGATGCAGTCTCTGTGGAGCAGAGGCACCGGGTTCCAATGGGTGTTTGCTCAGACACTTGGGAGAGGTCAGGAGAGCCTTTTGCTTCCACCTCCCTGAGAGCCAAACAAACCCTCAGGCTGTCACACAATGCCAACTGCAGCTGATGGATTTCAGAGCTTTCCAGGCTGGGCCAGCAGAAGAAGAAAAATGGATTCAACCAGAAAAAATTGCTACTAGGTACTACTACTACTGCTTTACTTTTAGGTGGTACCTAACCTGGGCTAGAAATGGGATGAACTGTAATTCCTCAAGTATTCTCCCTAGCAATGTGTTAGCTTTTCTCAGCTCCTTCTGTTTCATGACCTGTGAAACAGCACAACGACCACAGCTCCTGTGCACAAAGGAACATCTCCCTGCTCTTTTCCAGTGACAGACATAAACTGCAAAGGAAATTCTACTGTTCCCAGCTGTGTGGGTACTCTTACTGAATGTGATCTCACTAGTTTCTCAGGCCCTAGCTCCTGGACATTTGACCAGATGGCCTTTTTGACAGCCCATCATCTCAGGTTTGAAGACAAGGTGTCTCCAGCCTGGCCAGTGGAGCAAGACTGGGGAAACTTCTTGTGGGCACCTGACTCTTTGCCATGTCAAAATAGCTTGCTGTAGATCTGTGAGAGTGTTGCAGTTAGGGAGAGTTAGGAATGAAAAGCTAAGTATTGTTTCTGACCTTTCTTTGCAGCCATCTTCTCTTCCTCTTTTTTCTTCTCTTCCTCCAGAGCTTTCATTTTTGCATCATACTCATCAGCACGAGTCTTCCATTCGTTTCTGTTGTTCAGCAGCCCATCAAGCATAGGCTGAATTTCCTCATGGAAACGAGAAAACTCCTGACCAAAAAACATCTGTCAGCACAACCCAGTTGCCCACAGGCAGTGTTTATGCATCATACCCCAGGAGAGACCCCAAAACCTTGCCTCCTGGGCAGCTCGTGCAGGGGAAGATACCAGCTGCACAAAGAGAAGCAATGCTGCAATGCCCCGGAGCAGGGCAGCTGCTGTCTCCTCTGCCTGCCCCTCTCCCCATGAGTGGTGTTGCTGCACCAGGACCCACTCATCTGGGCTCTGAACCCCTGTTGAGGAGGATAGGGTGTGCAAGGGTGCACTTTGCTCACCTTGTAGACAAACGTGCACACAAAGTCAATGAAACCCACTTGAAGCTTTGGAAGCTCGGCAGCTTTCCTCCGGTCCATCATGGGCTGTGGGAGTACACAAGTTCACTGTCATTTATGAGAACATGTCACTGAAAAGCACACCTCTATTTTCTCCCCAAAACTGCCTTTTTATGTCAGAGTGGCAATACTGCCATGCTGTCTGTAGAGGCTGCCTGCCTATCACAGCCCTCTGCCTCCATGGCAGAGGAGTGAAGTGGGCTCCTCTCCTCTGCCAGAGCAGAAATCTTTGACAGCTCTTCCAGTGTCTATGGATGGGGAGGAGGGCAGAGACTTTTTCCCATGTGCCTTTCAACCTGGTACCTGAGAGAAAGTTATAAAGTGCTGAAGAGGTTTTAATTTCTCTAAAACATAACTGAACATGAAATTATATTCTTATAAGGCCTTGTTGCTTACTGTATAATTTGTGATGCCTCTGTGGGTAGGAGGAATGTATGAAAGTCTACTTAAAGAAAACCCAAATCTCACAGGTGGAGGCTGCATCAAAGACTCGGCTCTTTCAATGTCAAATATAAGTATTTGTTATTATAGCAGAAAAAAATATGTTAAGAAAAAAATGCTTTACCACATTTCCATTTACCAGAAATAATTTCTGGCCTCTACAAATTTTGTGTTTGTAGTATTTATCTTTTTGGAAACCCTGCTTTCCTCTGTGATGTAGGTATTTTGTTTCCCTCTTTTTTTTTTTTTTTTTTGTAAAGGACTAGCACAAAGTCTCCAGGGGGATGGTTACTCCTTGCTGGTTCATAACCAC